CATACAGCCCCTGATAGCTCTGAACTACGCAGGTTGTGCACAGATAACATCCCGGAAGATATACCTCACTGCCTCCTGTACTGCACGGAAGCAGCATGGATATGGACAAGGTGCACGACCTATGGTCCCTCCTCTTCTCATCAACCCCTCCGTCCACAACTCCCCTGAACATCCTGCTCCTATCCATCAATACTAACAATCTCAAAGGCGGCATGGAAATCTGGTTTCACCTGCTCAGGAAGCTGGCTCTATGGGTAATTTGGAAAAGGTGTACGAAGACTATCGAGGGAACTGAGGTGGCAAGGGAAGAAATGTGGGTTTTACTGCTGGGAATGGATGAAACTGAGATTCGATCCAGATGGAGGGACGCGACATCAACAACGAAAGTCAGACCAGAAAGGCTATAACCATCAAGAGACGGCTTTCATGAGAAATTGGTTTCTACAGGGAAAGATTGCAACAACAGTGGCAGATAACAGATTGATTTGAATGAAATGGCACAGTGCAACTCCAACAAGGACGATGACCCGGTGGTGGGCAAACTGAGATTACAATCTCAGCAATATAGACAACCCTCCTCTTTTCTTGCTTTACAGTGTTTACACGAATCATCTGGCAGAGTCACAGTAGACTCTGAGAGGAAAAGTGGTAGGGCAAGCAGACAGTCAATCCTCCGGATCTGGTGCAATCAATGCTGGTCAGGGTTCCTTCGGCCAGACGGAAGGAAGCATGAGAGTGTTCACCATGTATCTCAATTCTTGACTTGCCGGTGGAAAGGGACCGGAATGCCGCTCCCCAGAATGGATATGAAGCCAGGACCATAGGGACCTGTTTCAAAAAAAAAAAAAAAAAAAAAAAGATGGGAATACCCGCTATACCCAGTCCCAGCGCGAACTTGCATCTTTACCCAGAGGGTGTTCAACTTTGCATAGTACCTAGTGTTTTCCCTGTGCAAAATTGTAGGTCTACCCAGTCCAGCAGGCCCTGGATTCACAGCACAAAGTTATGTTCATGCCCACCAAGTAGACCATTGTGGCCCAATGGCTGCTGGGTATGAGAATAATTTCAGCCATCCGGTGGTAGCCGGGTATATGAACAATAATTTGGCCTCTCCTCCTCAGGTCCCGGGTATGCCCATAATGTTGCCTAGGTATGTCCATAATTTGTGCATTCCGGTAGTTGGATATAAACTTAATTTTGTGGTACCAACCAGAGCCCACCTTGGTCCTGGGCATACAACAATTTCCACCAGCCGTTTTCTGGGTATAGACGCAAGTTGGCGTGGGGACTGTGTATAGCCGGTACTCCCATCTTTAAGTGGGGTACAGATGCAGTTTTCTAAAATAAATACAGACTGAGTTTATATGGGAGTGGAAAAGACGTGAGAGGATACTAATCAGAATGACACGCTGCTTCCTCATCACACATGACTGGGTATAGCCGGTATTCGCATCTTTAAGCGGGTACAGATGAAATTTTCCCAAATAAATAATAATAAAACCAGACTGAGTTTATATGGCAGTGGAAAAGACGTGAGAAGATACTTACCACAATGACACGCTGCTTCGTCATCACAACTGATTCCTACTTCGCATTCTCAGATGGGACAAAAAAAGTTGGTCCTGCATGAACTGTCGAATTCCACGACCATTCCGATTCACTCGAGTTTCAAATGGCATTTATGATAGGTAACAGCAATCCAGTCTTAGGAAAATAAAAAATAAAAAAAATTAGCCCCTTGGCACAACATCGATTCCATTATGGGAGAGAAAAGAAGAGGGAAGGAGAGGAGAGGAGAGGAGGGAAGAGAAGAGAAGAGGAGAGGAGAGGAGAGGAGGGAAGAGAAGAGAAGAGGAGAGGAGAGGAGAGGAGAGGAGAGGAGAAGAGAGGAGAGGAGAGGAGAGGAGAGGAGAGGAGAAGAGAGGAGAGGAGAGGAGAGAAGAGGAGTGGAGAGCAAAGGAGAGGAGAGGAGAGGAGAAGAGAGGAGAGAAGAGGAGTGGAGAGGAAAGGAGAGGACAGAAGCGAAGAGCGAAAAGAGAAGAGAGAAGCAAAGAGAAGAGAAGAAAAGAGAAGAAAAGAGAAGGAAAAGAACATAAACGAAGAGAAGGAAAGAAGACTCGGATGAGATGGGAGGGAAGGAGAGGACAAAAGAAAATAGTAGAGAAAGGGAGAAGACACGAGAAGCGAAGATATGAGAAGAGAAGAGGAGAGAAGCAAGGGGACATATTTGCTTGTCACCACCGTCGAAAGTATTTCTCATGAACGGAGTGACGAGGATCTAGGCCAGCTATGTGTGCATATCTGTACTTGGACTCACTTTTAGCCAACTGTCATGCTAACTCAATGCTGTACAAACTTACCAACCAAAGTGTGGTGTATGCTATGTGCCCCGATGGCTTTGTTGTGTTTGCCCTGTCCATTCTACACTGAGCAGCAGGGACCGCACAGGAACAGGCACCACCAAAACAGCTGTTAACCAGAACGCTCCAGATTCCCCAAAAGTTAACCATCTGTGTTTGCCCTGTCCATTCTACACCGAGCGGCAGGGCCCGCACAGGAACGGGCACCACCAAAACAGCTGTTAAAAATAACGCTCAAAATTCCCAAAAAGTTAACCGTCCCTTTACCGCTTCTGTTTAATATCCGAAAAGTTTAACAATGAACACCACCAAAAAAGCTGTTACCTTGAAACTAGCAAGATAGAATAGGCTAACTTCGGCAGGGGTGAGGGATGGTACATTCTTCCTTCAGGAAGTAATCAATGCCGTCCTTCGGGCGTCCACACCATAAGGGGGAGGAGCGTGTGTGAGTACTCTCTGTAATTCCTTCTGACTTGCCGGTGGAATAGGTACCGGACTGATGCTCCCCAGAATGGAAAAGGAGCCAGAACCCTAAGGTTCTGTTTGAAAAAAAAAAAAAAAAAAAAAAAAAACTATAAAGCTTGAAGTTACCCAGAAAGGCAGCCATCGTTTTTCACCCTTCTGTTTATTGAGCTTTCTTCTCAACAGGGAACAGTCAAAATCATTATCGTATTCGAGTTTCAAGCATCAAAAGGAAAAACATTTAAACAAACAATGATCACCAAAATATTCTACCGAAAGTTACAGGTCTGTACAACTCAGCTATATTCATCAGCAAGGCGCCCAGCACAATCAAACTCCTGAGTCCTGACTCCTGACTGATGTGCTCAGGCAAAGGTAGAAATTGCAATTCCTGGTGCGATTCCCAATTCAAAGGAGAACGACTATGAAAGGTCATGAGGACTGACTGATGTGCTCAGGCAAAGGTAGAAATTGTAATTCCTGGTGCGATTCCCAATTCAAAGGAGAACGACTAGGAAAGGTCATGAGGTTGATACTCCGCTCAAAGTTCTTCTCATTCGTGTCCACAACAAATAGTCGTACCAAAAATGCTCATGGAAGATAAAACTCCCAAACCAAAAGGTAGGGTTGACATCAACCCTACTTGATTTCTCTCTGAGCATATGCGGAATTAGTTGGTGCTTCTTTCAACAACAACTACTTAAAAACTGCTCATGGAAGATAAAAATTCTCAAACCAAAAAAAATGCAGCATTTGAAGTAATGGCTGACGGACAGATTTCTGTTCGCCTGCAAGCGCACGTGCTGTTGATGTCAACCAAAATGCGATGGAACAGGAAAAAGATCCACTGTGGTGAACTATGGATGTGATTGCAGAAATGGGTGGGCAGAGCAGAGCAGCACAATGCGTACAGCACTAGGAAATAAGACAACTAGTTGCGATGGTTTCTGAACATGTGGATGAATCATTCCAAGCTTTTCTAACAGTTTCTAGCAAATTCCTGCGTCCTTTAAGAGCGTTACATCCTATGTGATCATCATCTCATCGTGTCTGGTCTTGTCTCGTCTTATCTTATCTCATCTCGTCTCATCTCGTTTCATCTCACCTTATCTCTGCTTAACTCACCTCACCTAACCTCACCTCACCTCACATGATTTGATCAGGAATACGATTCTTTTGCATGCGTTCATGCAAGCTCAAGACCCGATCACTCTTGATGAGCTGCCGACTCTCCAACATGCCTTTGAGGCAAAAAGACAGGCAGGTATGCAGACAGACAAACATGGGCCTTCTGCATCGTCTGTGACTTGAAGTTCTTGCTTCAGAAGTCATGCTACTTGCAACCAAACCAGACACAGCTGCTTTTTCTTCCCTTCTCCAGAAAAGAATGCCGGAGATGGTAGAGGCACTGAAACGGCAGCAACTACGTCAGGTCAATGGCAGTACCCACACAATAACCTAGGCTGTACCGGCAGCAATTACGGCCTGTCAATGCCAGCAGGAACCGCTGTAAGTGCTTGCGATTAATTGATTAGAAAGTTGCAAATTCTGCAAGGTATGACATGTCAGAGAGGGCATACTACGGTAGGGTTCGTTGAAGGCAGTGAGAGCAGCACTATTTGGTCCAGTCAAGGCAGGCCGTAGATCGTACTTCGAGTGGTAGCTGCAGTAACCGATGCCGGTCCGTGGCAGTTACAGTTGTAGGTGCAGTAACTGATGCTGCTCAGTGGCAGTTACAGTTGTAGCTGCAGTAACTGATGCTGCTCAGTGGCAGTTACAGTTGTAGCTGCAGTAACTGATGCTGGTCAGTGGCAGTTCCAGTTGAAGCTGCAGTAACTGATCCAGTTGTTGCTGCAGTAACTGATCCAGTTGTTGCTGCAGTAACTGATCAGTTGTAGCTGCAGTAACTGATGCAGTTGT